GCCTACGTTGCTCTGTAATACTGGTGGAAGCTTGGGTATTCAATAACCTCTAAATCCAATATATATTTAATTATTTTTATTTTTATTAAATACTGAAGATCTTGACTGAATGACTGAAAATCTTAGTAGCTAAAGATGCAGCCTGCGAGGTCACATTGAGCAGCTGCTATTACAGGTCGGTCGCGCCAAGTGTGGACAGTAACAAAAAATTCCCAGCTGCTACCGTTGAACCCCAAAATGCTTTCGCTATTTTTATATGATCGTTCTTTATCTACAGCAACTTTTTTAGTCATATTTCTGCACCAGAAGCTAATATGCAGGGATCGGGAGCCGAATTTTGATTTTCAATTTTTCCACAAACATCGCACTGCTTGATAAGAAATATTCATGATCAGTTAATAATCTTTAAAAATTGTGGGTGGTTGAGAACTGTCAACTAATGAAGTGGTCTTACAGTGGCACATTTCTACCATTCATTGAATTGCTGACATCTTACCCCAACGCGGGCCGCGCTCTCCAGGCAACCACTTTCTTTTGAAGGTGGCTTTTAAGTTTCAACATACAGGTCTATGGGCGATATACCTTTTTTTCAAAATTTCCACGATCACGGATAGCGCAAGATCCTTTTGCTTACCCACAGAGAACACCTTTTGGGCCCCTCACTAGTTTTTAAAAAAGTCCTTACAAAAAGGTCACCTCTTGAATATTTTAGAAGGGCAATTATAAAAACACTAAAAACGCCCGCTATTCACCCTTCTCGCCCGCTATTCACCTCGCCCCTTATTAACACGTTAGAAGACTGCGGTTTTATTATTATTTTGTCCGCAGTGAAAAGGTACATAAGAAAAGTGGAAAGTTAATGTTGAAACTACTTACAGAAATATAATCAAATTTATTTTGTGCAACTGTCCACACTTGGCGCGAACACCCTGTAGTTGTTTCCCACAAGTTTGCATTAATTCTGCGCTGAAATATTGGCTGAATGGCTTTTTATGAGCACTGTGTAAATGATCCCACTCAATCCATTTTATCACCGTTTAAATGCTATCTGTCGTACCGAAAAAATTCAAGTTTTGAGTTAGATAAATCGGTACAGTAATACAACGTTATATTAAAAACGTGAAGAGGACAATCAAAAAAAAATTACGGAGGTTTTCACATTTTTTATAAAACCAGTCGAATTTAACCAGAAAGCTGTCCGCATTTCTACATGTTTAAAATATTTTCATAGCTGGCCTCGCTGGGGTTTTACATTTGAAACATTTCTAGTAAACTTATTTATTATTTATATAAAAAACTATTTTATTGTTGTACGCACTACGCAGTATATAACTATTTTCTATTCTCATTCACGATTCCATACCTCGAACACAACTGGTCGCGCGCTAGCGCGACCGATACTTGTAAATAATTATTATTATTGATTTTTACTCCATGAAGCGCTGTTATACGTATCTATAACAACAACTCGTGAAAATACTCAAAGTAATACGTTTCTGGATATTCAGTGGTTTAGTCACTTTAGTGCGAGGCCGACGGGAATATTATGCATGACCGACGGACAGACAAAAGCGCCGTATTGTGTACTTATAGGTTTTAAGTTTTACTGTATGCTTTCTATAATACTTAAATTTATTATTCATACAATAAATACTATGTATAATTTTTTAATACATTTAATTTTTATTTATATTTATCTTCTTTTTAATTTTATTATTTTTATGTGACTGACGGACAGATTAGTGCGTGACCGACGGACAGACAAAATTCCAGTCCCCTTGAACACAGAGGACCTTCGCTTCGCTTCGGTCGATTATCCCCACACCTCACCTTCTTTCTTTAGTGTATTTTCAAGGAAATGAACGCGCGTCCCATGATTAGGATGACAGCGGGTGGTTAAAATTTACCCAGTTTAATTAATATACAGTAATTATGCGCGGTGTACCGATTTATTTTATCGGCTGTTTGCAGATTAAGAGCTAGGATTTTTCAGGCAGTAAGTGAATTCGACCATGTTCAACAAATTTTTACTTTTTTAGAATTGCAGGGAAAGTCATTTGTTGTGAAGAAAATCAATAAGTAAGATAATGGAAATTTTCATATACTCGTACTATTGTAACAGGCAATTTACTGCTACACCGGACGGTTGCAACTGCGACAAGTGCCGGAAGTCTCTGAATTTTCTCCATTTGAAATGGACAGTTTGGAGATTTTTTTGAAACATAATTTATGCTAACAGCTAAGTCATTTGCACAAAAACACAGGTTATTCGGATGGAAATCGCTCGCATGCTTTTGGAGGTGTGCGTCTTGAACCCTTTGGGCCTATGCGTCTCCCAGGCAGTCGACATAGCGATTGTTAAAGGAAATCCTTATCCGGCTGATTTCTTCTGGAATACAAATGCCGTGCAGATTAACGACTTCTGTTATTTTTCTTTCTGTCTTTTTTATATTTAGAAATAGTCACATTATATACCTGTGTGAACGATTTTAAATAAATTATTTTCAACCACACTGCGTCCTTAACTTGTTTACAGTAACTCACGCAGCAAGAAAATCCAGTGTTACAAAATTCTTCAGTATTAATAAATTACCATTAATTTTCTAGTCACACCAGTAACGATTAGAGCACTGCAGTATCATCGTACGATAGACACCATAAATTTAATTAAAATCAACGGCAGGATGACGGAGCAAAAGGTCAACTCGTGATCAATAAGCTGCATGCCAGTATAACTCAACAAGCTGGAGGAGTCGTGTAAAAATGGACGGACAGCCCGGAGACCAGCGCCGGGGGCGGTCGCTGTGCTGACGGTGTTGACCTTTAGCGCGGTCTGCTGTTGGACACCCATTCGATTATACACGACCATCTTGCCGCTAACCCGGCCAAGACAGCGACACCGCCCAGACGCTGCTCTTCGCGGTAAATACGCCGTTATACGCTTAATTTAATGTACGAGTATTTAATTCGTTTTGGTTATTTATAAAATTTACTATTTCATTATTGATATTTATTTGATGTACTTATTGAAACAAGTTTTCTGAATTAGTTTAGAGTACACGCTCAACGACACCAACCGGAGTCCGGTACGCGCCGGTGTATCGGTGTACGGTGAACGGGGCAGACAAGAAAACACCTGTATTATAAGAAATCATACTTTACACATATCACACACCTTGTAGGCCACTCAATAGTACTGTATATAAAAATTTCCATGGAAAAATACCAGTTGGAGAATTTTCTGAAAGGTCCGTTAAAAACCCTCTAAAAGTGCCTATTACCCCATTCCGATTTTAACCTGTTAGCCAATTATTGCCGCTTCCAACTTTCTATATTTTAATATACATATTCGGATCCGCAATGAAAAGTTACACTGGAAAAGGGCGAAATGGAAAATAAACCGAAGTACAGAAATATTTTTAAATTGATTTACGCAGCTGCCCAAACAGGCCAGTAATAATATATAATAATGCATAAAGTAATGATATGTAAATAAAAAATAGCTCAGCTAACCTTTTACGTGATTGGTACATGAGATGACCCCAAACAGAATTGCATCTCCCATAGACCTGTATGTTCACAAGTGCTTCCGCAAGAATTCGGTTGCTTATATAGCGCGCAGACCTAAGTGACTTCGAGGTAACATTTCCCATAAATTAAACAAACAAGTACTTTATTGAGGTTCGTATTGGACAGTGTAATTAATACAAGAATATCAGCTAACAAAACCCATAACATCATTTTCGTTCCGCTAAATGAAAGGCAAAGTACAATTAAACATGCATTAAAGTGCCCGTAGAACCGATTTACCGATCTGTACCGATTTTTAAAAAAACTGCCCGAACGATTTCAACGTATTGCGCCGTGGTGCAGTGGTACTGCCTACGCGGATCTAACGACGTAGCCGGGGTTCGATTCCCCCATCGGCGCCTTTTTCAGCCGTTTCTCGGTTTCCCTCGGATTGCGCCCTGCTTAGATGGTAGCAGATCGTGGTTCGATCACGGACCTATGGTATGAGACTGGTGTGCTAACCTCGAACGGGAGGAACAGAGCAAAAACGAATAAAAGGATAAAATGAATGGAGGATGCGGTGAGCCGGAGCCGCCGCTTAAAAGGATCGCTTCATCACGCTACGAGGACGTAGCGAAAGCTGCAAAGGGGGTGTGAGCGGAGAAGCGGCTCACGTACAGCGACAAAATCTTTCAAAGGATTTCAACGTATTGCGCCGTGGTGCAGTGGTACTGCCTACGCGGATCTAACGACGTAGCCGGGGTTCGATTCCCCCATCGGCGCCTTTTCAGCCGTTTCTCGGTTTCCCTCGGACTGCGCCCTGCTTAGACTCCGAAAAGCGCACAAAATAGCGATAAGTAGCCGGTGATTTACAACGATACAGCGCATGCACAACAATCACGCATCCGGTATCGCGATTACGTGGGAAAACCGGCAATACGATTAACGTTTATTCCTGTGAAATGCGATTAACGTTTCTCCCTATGAAATTGGTTGCCGTGAACTTAAATTCCAGTGCTTATGGCCTTTTGTTTTTATGTTAATGGTTCCAATGACCTTGTCTGCAGTCTGCACTGGTAATAAGAAATAAACCGAATGCATTTTAGCAGTACTTGGAGATTGTGCGCAATACTAGATATAAGCACTTAATTGCAAAGAAATCTATTTTGTCATTCGAATACGTGTAATTAATCTGGGCTCGTCTGTGCGCATGAACCTAATATTATTTATTATTAATAATTTAATATCCGTGCCTGACAGTGCACATGTCGGCATTGTTATGGTACAGAAAGACCGATAAAAATTCTATAAATAACTGTAATAAAAATAAATAAATCTACGCGAGCATGAACTCGCACAACTACGCGTTACACTTGAAACGCAAGTAAAACAAATTAACATTAATTATTCGCCGAGTGCGTAATAAAAGAGCGCGTAACAAAAATCAATGAGGACTAGCACAGCGGTGAACCAGGCTGTCAGCAGCGCCGTTATTGGTGGCCACTACCAGCTGCAGTGGCGGTTTCCGCGTGGGGGAAGCGCGGATCGGCGTCGTTCAGGAGTGTGACCTGTAGTAGGAGCGACGGATTGGACGGACCTTCGCTCAACTTGAAGCATTCGTCGCGAGCCATCATAGCCTCCTCCCGGCGAGCGAAGCGGACGAAACCCCAGTTCGTCTGCTCGCAAGGCCGAGCGCCGCCGTCTGCAAGCAAAGATCACTAAAGGTCATCAGCGCATAACCTAATAAAATAATTCTAAGAATTAAATATACTTACTGCAGGGACAGGTGCGCGGGGCGATTTTGGCGGTGGTGATAGTGCCGCCCCACTGACTGAAGTGGCGCTGCAGATCCGCCAGCTGCCACGCACATGGAATCCCGGTGACGAACAGGTTGCTGTGGGGATGCGCCTCGCCGGGCGGGCGGCAATACGCCACCTGCAGAAAGACAACTTACAAATAAATGCATAAAAATACAATTTTTAATTAGTTCCATACTGTACCGAAATACTTATATATTATTATTTATTTTCGGTCGTAAATTTTACAGTAAAGATTATTGGCGTTACTTTTTACTGCTCACCAGTGAACATAGGGAGGCTCCCCCTTCAGAAAAACCTTAGTTTTTGCAGAAAGGTAGTATATCTACTGGGTAGTTAGTGTTATTAAAAAAATAATTTCAGCTGCTGTAATACCAAGCGTGACCAAACGCAAATTAAAGAGGGCTTGGGCGTGACCAAGCGCAAATTAAAGAGTGCTATTCTATTCTACACTGGATGCACTGGCGTAGGCTGTACAGCCTTGAATGGCTCAAGCCCACGCTTCCGAAATATCCCGCTTACACCGGTCTAAAATTCTCGGACCGGGTTTGTATTATACAGTACATAATAATCTGATTTAATTATTATTTATAAAATATTATTATTATAAACTATTATCATTATAAAATATTATTATTAATTCGTATTATTGCTATTTAAATATTGTTACAGTGAATCCTCTGAAATACGTACACCTCCGTACGGAAAATTTCGTACGCAATTCAGGGTTGTACCGAATTCAAATTAGCTACCCCCAGGCCCCTGGGGGGTGACTGTAGACTAGGGGCACTGCCCCAATACGAAATGCTCTGCACATACCGTGCAATGCATAAAATACACGGATTTCATTAGTTAACATACAGAATTGCATCAATCTGTTTGTATATAAACACTCGAAAACAATTCTCTCGCACACTTTTAGCAGAAAACATTAATAAAGCCTTACTCACCGGTCAGGATACAAAAGTCTAGCAATTTCGAGTACAGTTTTCTTTGCTTCTTTGGATTCTCACAACTTTACCATCAAAAAGTTGAAAATCTCCAGTTCCGAAATAACGGCGTACGCATTCACGAGGTGACTGCGTACAGTCAAATACTTATGCGGTACAGAGATTAAGGGTACGTGTACGCAACGCTGAGGTGTACGTTACGTAGAGGTTCCTCCCTGTACTTTAGTCTACGACGTAATTCGGTACAGAATTTTTCGTACGTAACAGAGGGGTGTACGTTTCTTCGGGGTGTACGTACGATGAGGTTTCACTGTATTTACTTCTTCAGCATATTCATATTTTTTCTCTACATTAGTTTCCGGTTACACTCGTTAACAGAATAAGATAAGACAATTTTTTCTAAAATAACGCATTTCCTTATGTGTATAATTTATATCGGCCGAAAAAACCAAAGCCTACTTACCTTTAAGTTTTTGGCTTTGCGCTTGGGATTCCCATGATCGTCTACCTCCCAAGGAGCGGCGGTCTCGATGAGACAGAATCCATTGAGCAGCTCAATGGCGCGGGCGGCCGCCTCCTCGTGGCTGTAGGTGAGAAATCCGAAGCCGCGGCTGAATTCCCGACCTACTCAACCAACCACCGCCGGTTACATGCACAGTGCGGATTCAGCATGCAGTAATGTCGTTACCTGTCGCGTCGGTACGCATCGCCACGCGGCACTCCACCAGCGTGCCGTGTTCACCCAGAATCCGCTGTGTGCCAAAAATGTTGCGCAGGAAGGTCGCTCGCACGGCCATAGGCAGGTGGGTGACAATCAGCTTGCGCCGGTCCACCTGCTGATCCACGCTCTCCGTCTCAGCGGGAAGATCCGCCACTCCAGCTCTAGTGTCGGCCATACTGCCGAGCATTCACACAATACACAATCAAAAGTAAAAATAAAATTTAATAAGCGCAGCGTTGCACAGAGCACCGACACGATTCCTGACGCGCAAATTAAACGCGATGTGCCCGAGACGCGTAAGCAATGGACAATGAAGAATTTAAATACCTGACAGTGAAAATGAGCAGTGCTGCAGAAGAAACGACTCCAGCCTTCGTTAAGCCGATAAATCCGCTTATCAGGCAGGCTGATCTGCCATTTCCATAGAAAGTCAGTGAGAACAAAGAACGGCCGATTGCACAACCGGCTATATCACCGCTCCGTATCCGGATTTTGCGCTACCGTGAAGCCGGATACGGCGGTGTAGTACAACCGCAGCCAGAATAAGTATATTTTTTGTACATATTCGCTCGCCCGCTCGACTAAACACTGTACGAGAAGTCGAGAACTAAACTACTGTACATTCACCGGAACAATCAATCCACTGACAAGCAGAAAACTGTCTTTTGGGAATTTCAGCAGTGGTTTTCTGAAGTAATTCCTGAACTTAAATTCTTCCGATATTGGATTTTCAAGGAACGAAACGCGCGCCATAGGATTATAACTGGCGCTATCGATTTAGTCTGGCTTCTTCAAAGGTGTTCGTCAGCAAATTTAATCATTTTAATTAGCATAAATCTGCACGGTGTTTTTGGTTTACGGTAAATATGCGCTGCGCGCCAAATACTGTAAATACAGTACATAGTGAAAGTTTGTAGGCAGTTTTTCAATTTTGCCGGACTTATTCGTACCACTTAGTCGTATTTTATGTTCGATTTACGACGCATTTTTCTGTGCAAATTGAAAAGAACGGAAGTTTTTTAAAACATTGACTGTAAAGCAAAGTTCGCTTTACGCAGTGCACCGAGCGGTTGCAATTGCTTCAAGCGCGGAAAGCCTTTGAATTTCCTTCCTTTTAAACTGTCAGCTTGGAGATTTTCTGAGAACAATTTCTGTCAGGCAGGGAAGCGATTCCACAGAAATACCAGCTTGTTTTTAAAGAAATCTCTCATGCGCATTAAAAGGTGTGCGTCCGGAAATAACGCATCCCGGGCAGTCAACATGTGCAATTCTTAAAGGAAATCCGTATTAGGCTGAATTCTTGTGTGCACTGGGTACAAAAAGTGCGCGGTCGAAAAATGTTTATTATGATTAAGGGCTTATGTTATTTCTTCTTTTGTTCCTTTTGAATCCAAAGTAGTCAAATTACCCATGCAAAGAATTTCAAGTAAATACTTTCGAACCACACTGCTCATCATTTCTTTACACTAATTCACGCAACAAGAAAATCCCATGCTACAAAAACTCTTCAGTATCAATAAATAATTATTATTGTTACCATCAATTTTCTCATCACACCAGTAGCGATTACATTATTGTATTACGATATCGATATCGCACGAATTAACACAAGAAATTCCATTAAAACCGAGGACAGAAAAATAGAGCCAAAGGTCAACTCAACTGATAACGCGTGATCAACGAGCTGCATGAAAATATTACTCATCGAACTGGAAGAGTCGTGTAATAATGGAGAAAGGATCGATTTGCGGTGGCGGAGTGCCGCCGGGTGGGACGGTAACCGGGGCGGGCGTGACCGAGCCAGGCTGCGGCACGGGACAGACGGGACGGCTGGCGCACTGCGCGCAGCTGGTGTGGCAACGGATGGACAAGCCTGCCAAGCGCATGTTATAGTGTATTGTTATTGTTATTGTACGGTGCAGTCATTCGCGCACAATAAAGTAAATAAATTAATATAATATACGAGGTACATATAGAGGTGCAAAATGGAAAAATACAAATAAGCATATATCGCTAAATATTACGCGTAAGCAAACGAATGTAATAGTTATATACGGAAATAAATTAAAGTATATTAATAATCATATTTAAATCAAGAACACCCGAGTGAAAGGTTTACAAAATGAATGAAAGCATAATTTTAGACAGATTATTTAACTTTTTAGATATTTTCATATAACTATATTAGAATAGTAATAATAATATATAACTATATTAGAAATAAATAAAAAATATATATAATAAAAGGTCAAAAAGTATGTCAGTATTACGTACCTAAATAAATAAATGTGTTATATGAAGTATTCCGTATGTATAAGTTTTACCGGGATTGGTAGCCACCGCACAGCGGATGCGGTCAGAGCTGGCGGTGACGGTAGTGCCGTTGCTGAAGCAGACAGTGCTGGAGAAGATATAGGGCAGCGGGACAATCACCGGCGCGTAGTAGTACGATGGGGGGTAGTAAGGTTGGTTGTAATATCCGCCGTAGTTATACGACGGATATCCGCCTCCGTAGTACGGCTGGTTATAGTAATTGTTTCCGTAGCCATAGCTCGGTCCGTAACCACCACCATAACCGCCACCATAACCGCCGCCGTAATAGTCGTTGTACCCGTAATTACCCCCGCCGTAACCGTAGTGGCGGTCATCAATGGCAGGCGCTTGGCGCTTGCTGCGTCCGGCTAAAGAACGGGTTTGTTGTTAGAATGGGTTGCAGTCAGAGTGGTTAGTGTTACGTTACTTACGGAAATTGGGCCGGGCAGCGAACGGGACGATGGGCGGCGGTGATCCGGGTGTGGGTTGTGTGGTCGCCGTCGTGGTGGTGGTCGGTGGTGGGGTGGTGGTCGTGGGAGTCGTCGGGGGTGGCTGGGTGGTCGGAGGTTGGGTGGGCGGTTGCGTGGGCTGCGTTGGGGGCGCTGTCACAATTCCCCCTCCGTTGGCGGGGCAGCGGCGTGCAAAATCTGCAAGGAAATGCACATATACTAATTTATAACGTAAAAATAAATTTTTAGAATATACCATTTTTATAGTTATAATTTTTATTTAACTATATACATATATAAAAATTCTACAAAATGCGCAAAATGCATACTACTTTACAATCAAATGCACTGCAAGTATATTTTCAACATAGATTATTCGGAAATAAATAAAATATAATTATTTAACCTAAAATATAATTAGGAGAATAATCAATAAAACAAAATAAAATATTAATATAAAGGATCGATACATTATCAAGTGCAAAATGCAAGGAAACGAAAATTTAATCAAAGGAAGTTTAAATTAATTTATCTTAAGAAATATTAATGCCGGCTGTCAGTGGCATACTTGTGTTCTGTTGGTTGACGGCCGAGCACGCTCCCACTCCGCGGATGCCCAGATCTATGTATAAATAAATAATTAGGCGTGCCTATTCCAATAATATAATGATTTTAGTTGGCGTGCGTACTGAAATTGGTCTGTTGCGCCGCATTTAACGCGCAGACAGTGGGATAGGTCACCCCGTCGGATCCGCAGACGGAGACGTAAGACGACGGTCCATAGTTGCAGCTGCACGATGATGACCCACTGATAACTTGAGATAAAGCACCCGACGCTCCGAGGAGCACTACTAACGCTACACCGAACAACGATGCCATTTTTTTCTAAGGAATTATTTAAAAATATTTAACCATGAGTGAGCGCATTCTTCCTTCGTACGCGCGCTTATATATACTTTCAGCGGCCGATTTTCTCTGTATTTACGTCTGGACCGCGCTGAGCGTGCACTTTATGGAGTACAGTGTTTTCTCGGTGGAAACGAATGAGCCGGCGAAATTCCCTGACAAGTGTGGAATGCTGTGACGCGCGCTGACCAGTTTCAAGTGGCCGGCTGTACGTTGAAACTTGTTTAATAATCTGCTGACTTTATTTCTTTACCAGCTCCAATACCGAGACATTCTCGTAAAAATTTAATTTTTGAAGTGGAATGAACGACACGAGTAAAGAAGATATAAACACGCTTCCGGTGTTTTACAGTATTATTATTTTAATTAAATGCGGCGTTCTGGAAGATGGCCTTGCTCATGCCGGCAAAGTCCGCGATGGGCTCGGGGGTGCTGCCGCCCGGGGTGGTCGCCATGGGCGCGGAGGAGACGGTTGTGGCGCCGGGTTGCGCGGTGCTTCCGGCGACCGGGACGTTGGTGCCGGGGCACCAGGGAGCGGCGGCGCAGAAGCGGCACGAGCCGAAGCACCGGATGCCGACGTCTACAATTAATGCGGCCGTTTTTAATTTATTTATTAATACATTTTTGTGATTATTAATTATTATTATTCTGACGGTTCTTATTATTTATTACGACATTCGTTATAATTCAAATTTTTATTTCATCTGCGTAAAATATTTATTTACGAATTTTTTAGTTCATTTTTATTTATTATTACGATATTTATTATTAGTGAATTTTTTTATTTTGCTATTATCTGTTACGAATTTTATTGATTTGTTAGTTTATGATATTTATTATTATTTTTACGATATTTTTTTGTGATCATTTTTAACAGTTCTGGTTAGTTTTTTATTCTTTATTGTGATTATTTTTGATGATTTTGTTTTTAACGAGTAGCCTTTAACTGAATATTGTATATATGTATACCATTTCAGTTATAATATTTATTAAAATTTGTTTATTTATTTCGGTGTGTTAATTCTGGATTTTATGGAATTATTATTTTATAATATTTATTTTTGATCGATTTATTATAATAATTATTTCTTGTTATTGGTTGTTAATAATATTGTCATTTAAACGATGATCTTACTGGGCGTGTTGGGATCGGCCACGGCGCAGCGCACCGCGACGGGATCGTACAGCGTGGTCCCGTTGGTCAGGCAGACAGGCGGGCCCACCAGCACCGGACGGAAGCTGGAGCCCGGGCGCTCCTCCGAGCTGGAGCGGCCGCCGTGGCCCGGACGGTGGTGACCGTGGCTGCGGCCGCCGTGGCGACGGCCCGGTTTCAAGGCGCCGGCGAAGGGCTGGATGGGTCCCGGGGATTGTTGCGCGACGGTTGTGGAGGTTGAGACGGCGGTGGTGGAGGTGGTCGGGGCGGCGGTGGTGGTCGACACAACCGCCGCGGAGGTGGTCGAAGCGACGGTAGAGGCACCGGAAGTGGTAGAAGGTGCCGCCGTGGAGGTGCCGGTGATGCTGTTCCACAGTCCGAAGCGGATGCAGACTTTGCTGACGGCCGGGATGGCGGCGGGGCAGGGACATGGGCCGAGGCACTTCAGGCCCAGTGCTGCTTAAATTTAAACGTTCTCATTTAATATAATTATGAAGCAAGCAAATTAAGAAAATAATATCAATTTTTATATATAAGAAAGATTATTAAAATTAAAAATTTTATATTTTAAATTTATTTGGTTGGTATAATGTAAGTAATTTCTAAAAACAGAGAAAAGTTTTATAAAATACAAATACATTAAATTCTGGCATATGTGATATTTTAGTTTGTTTTTAAAAAAGGTTAATTTTAAAAAAAAACTTTAACAGATGTACCATTTTATTTTTTAATTAACATAATAACTTAAATAAAAAGTTGCTTAAAAAAAGAAATTAAAAACAAATTAATTAATTATATAAATAAATCGTTGACTTAGATGCCGCTGTGATTAGCATAATGGTACTCACCGCTGTTGGTGCGTTGAGCGTTGGTAAGGTCACAGGGCGTGCCGTATGTCTTCCCGTCGGTGGCGCACACTTGCAGGCCGCGCAGGATCCCGGAGGTGCATTGGCAGCTCAGCTGCGGCATCTGCGACAGCACGCCTATGCAAACAGAACGTTGACCTTTGATTTTCCCGTTTTCATTAATATAATATTTTTTATTCTTATTATAATCATTAGTTATTATTACGACCTTAATATTTCCTCCAGTGAATAATGTTTTTGGAAAATAATTCAAGTCGTTAGCCTTACCGCCCGCGCTGATCATCACCAGGAATACAGCAATGACTAGGCCGCTCATTTTTTTCTCGGGACAATTATTAAAGAAATGGGATATTTTAGTATTAATAGAACAGGTGGATGGATCGTTATGGTTATAGTGATTTTTTATTCGGTTTATATACTTAATTCTACGGGGAATTCCGTAGATTTTATTTGACGTAGGTTCAGGAGCGGATGACGGTGGTGGACCGTCACGAAGCGCGGTAGGGAGGCGATGCTAGTGTTTATCACGTGTTATTGTTGTCGTGTGGACGCGGGCGCGGCGGTTACCTTGTGGAGTGTGTTGATGCAGCGGCAGCACATTTTTTTCGAATATAGTGTACCGTTGCACGTCAATGGCCCCTCCAGAAAACACGCTGTTTCAGTTCTTCCAATCTTTCCACGAAAAATGCGTAACAAATGCACTTTTGAAAATTTTTTTCGTATTTGCCCCTCCCACTATATATCTGTATGTGTGCATATAGGACCATTCTAAAGCTGATCGAATGTGACACGGAAAGGGTCTGTACGTGTGAAATTGTTACAGCTTTTGCTTCCCCTTTTTTTCTGCGTCTGCTAACTCTTCCGTCAATAGAAACAATTTATAAGTAACAATACAAATAAAAATAATAATTAAATAAATTATATCAAATACAATACATATAAAAATAATAATTTCAATAAATTATAAATATATATAGCAATTTCAATCAGGATTTTACACGTTAATAGTACTTATTATAAATTACTTTTATTACAGTGATAAAATCAGTAAAAATTAAAATACATGCAAACGATAAACATTACTGTACAGTGCTTACTATATACAGTACTACACTGTCCTAACTGTACTTTAGTACATAAAGAATGGATACACATTAAATGTACGTAGGCATGTTTTGCCAGTAGATTAATACAATTATAAAATTTTATTACTCGCACTTGCGTGTTTATTAGCTTAGTAACGCTATACAAGTCGCAAAATACAATGCTGAACTGCATGATAAACATTATTCTTTCTATGACCTTTGTGACCTTTGCCTAAAGAAAATCAAGTTTCATGTGTGCCGCTGCGTACAGTACTGTATATGGTGCAAATATACTGTAATAAATTGCTGATTATCGTTAAAACCGTTAAAAAGCTCATGCTCTGACTCGCAGCGCGATGGCGGCGCAGCGTGCCCACTATCCCGATCCGCCGCTGAACCCGTACGAATCCCCGGGGTAGGAGCGTAAGTCCGCAGCCTGCCGTTGATAAATTAATCTGCTATATACTCACCGTGATCTCCGTGACCTTTTAGCAGCTACTACAGCTACGCGCCCTACCCCCGCGCCTACGAGCAACCCACCGCCTACGACCACGCCCCGCTCCCGGAGGCCCCCGCGCCCGTCGGTCCCTGGCGCCCGACGGAGCGCCCGGTGGGTCGGGACGGCCTCCCGATGTTCCCGGCCAGTCCCCCGCAGCCCTACGTCCCGCGCTACATGACGGAACGGGAGGCGGCCCTGCTGCAGTGCGCCCCACCGGAGACCACCGCCCACCTCCAGGGTCCGGGGCACCTGGCGCACCTGGACGTCCCGGCGTATCACCCGGAGGTTAACCAGCCTCTCCCGCGACCTCCTCCGCCCGTTACGCCACGTTCCACGTGTCCGCGGTGCGGCGCCAACTGTCTGTGCAACCAGGAGACGGTGGTGGCGCCCCGGTCGCGTCCGGCCAGCGCCATGCCCCGCGGGAACTGCGAGGAATTATGCGCGAAGTTAAATCAGGCCTCGGGAGTGTGCCGAAGGTGCGGGGCGTCGTGTGCGTGCAACTGCGCCGGGGTGGGGCAAAAGGTCATGCCTGGACAGTCACCGGCGTCGGAGCTGCCGAGCACGGCGCCCGGGCAGGTGCGGAAATGGATGAATTTGCCGCAGGGCGCCGCTAAGATCAAAGACCGACTGTACCAGTACCGGCAGGACCATAAGATCTCGGGATATGCCGGACATTTTCCCAACACGCATAATATGCTCGGTGGATCGATTTACCGGTTAACATCTAACGAGCAATGAATTTAAAACAAATTTTTTTTGTACCTAATGTAGAATTATGGCGACCGCCCACAGATGTCGGCAGTTATTTTTTTTACTGCATTAAAATATTCTATTACGACGGCCGCCCGCGGATGCCGATACTTGCAGTCACAGTTTTGCAGCATTAAAATCGGTGCATTATGACGGCCGCCCGCAGCTGCCGATTAAAAATTATTTGCGCCAGAGTAATTATACCGCAACCGGCATTAAACAGCGTACATGTATAATTATTGTTGAGTTTGTTTTCGTGATGGAATTAAATGAGATCTGCGATAAAATGAGACATTGGTCCGCTGATAAACATCTTTAACCGACACCGTAGTTATGAGTAAGGGTCGCTGATTAACCGAAGGACAGCCCGCACTCACAGTAATCTAGTGCGATTTCACGTCAACCGGGCGCCCAGTCACTCGACCGCACACTTCACCTACCCCGAAGCGCCGCACTCCTGACTGCTAATTCCTCGATTAGCCATACATTTCGCTATTCGAGATTTGCGTCAAAGTGCGGTCGGCTTGAATCAGCTGCTCGCCGGCGGCCGCGTATATAAGCCTTCGACCAGACTGGATTTAATCCGTTGCGAACTTCGCATTTTGCTTCCGGCAGTCGAATTCTACTGTACGTTGCATATTACTAAAGAAATCCTATAAAAGATAACCATGTTTTCCGTTCGCGCCGCTTCGGCGCATCATCGGCCTCACGTTAATCTGTGCCTCGGTAAGTTTACTACATAAACGCATTAAAATTAATAATAACTAAAATGTACCTAACTTGCTTTACTTAAGTATATTTATTACTTTAATTTCTAACTATGTATTTGTTCTTTACTAATTTAACATCTATTCATTTTAAATATTTATTAAATTTTTAATAATACAGAACTAATTCTATAGAAGTATATTTAATATTATTTTTAATAATGCAAAATAATTTTTTAGTTAGGTTACTTAATCTTTTAAAAAGCGTTTAATTAAATTCATTTACTTTAAATTAATTCAAGTGCGTAAGTGTGTAATTAATTTTTTCAGTACTTCTGCTATGCATTTTGTCGCTCTACCTCTCGACGCAGCCGGTGACCGGCCGCCGGGCGGGCGGCGGCGGCCGTAGCAGCAGTAGCGGCCGCAGCAGCAGCAGTCGCAGCGGCGGCTCCTGGGGCCGCTCTTCATCCTCTTCCCGTTCCTCCTGGGGCAGCTCCAGCCGCTCCGGCTCCAGCTGGAGTTGGGGCGGTTCCCGCAGCTCCTCTTCCGGCTCCTCCCGATGGGGCTCCTCCAGCCCGTCGGGCTCCAGCTCCTGGTCGTGGGGCAGCCGCAGTTCCTCCCCATCACCGTCCCCCTCCCCTTCCGGTGGGTCCAGCTGGTTCCGGTGGGGCAGCAGCCGCACCTCCTCGAGCCCCTCCAGCTCCAGCCGGTGGGGCAGCCCCGCCCGCCGCCATCGCCGCCACCCCCTCGAAATGGGGAAGCTGGGCGCCCAGCGGCAAGCCCCGCGTCATCCAGCCGGCGATGCACTACGCGCCCGCCGGGACGTCGGCCATTCGGTCGGCTGTCAACCGCCCGGTCGTCCACGTCCCGATCGCCACCGGAAGTCTGCGCCCGGTCGTCCCGGTGTACTCGCCGCACCGCACCTACATCCACACGTATCACTACTACCCAGGGGGATACTCCAACACCTACCTGTTATCCCACCACAACGGGTACGTCAACGGCTACCTCCTGGGGCGGATGGTGGCCGGAAGCCATTACCGGGACGCGTACGGGTGTTGTTATGACTGCGGATGCGGGTATTATGGACCGACACCGGCGTGGTATTATGACAGCTACGTTCCGTATCGCTACAGCTACTATGCTGAGAGCAGCGCCCCCTCCGTGTATACTACGCCGTCGCCGGCGAATACCGCCGAGAAAGTGGACGTGTGCACGCTGGCGCGATGGAATCTGGAGCTGCCGTTCAGTGAACTGCCGAATATGATTCTTAGATTCATCGCCAGTGAAAATATTTCCGGCAGCTCGGATGCCGGAAAAGCACGGTAAGCTATTATATATAACATGTACATAATTAAAACATGATAATATAAATAATATGTGGACATATATAAAATTAGTACACGAATACACAATTACAGTATACATACTTTTACATTCATTTATTATAAAAATTTAATAAATATTCGCAATTACATACATAGAAAATATGCATTTACGTAAATTAGCGATTAGTCTAACATGTGCACTTATATCTACGTACATATCAGGTATGTATCTGTACATATACGATACGTAATTTTGTATGAAAACACCACATTAGTTTTAAAAGATCCATTCAATGTATTTATGCAGAGACAATATACATGTATTGTATGTACATGTTTATATATAAAATGTCCATGTGTGCCCTTTTTCCTATATACATGTATATAAGTTATTTCCGGTTGGCGTCTGGCTATATTTTGCGGCTGTACTGTATTTGCAGCTTTATGTTGGAAGTGTTGAACACAAGCGCTGAGACCTACGGCAACCTCCCGGAAAAAGCCAACATCTTCCAGATTGACAAATCCTACGATCTGAAGCAGTGCAACATCCAGATTAAACGCCGCAACGCCACACAGCTGGAAAATCCAACGCCGACGATGAACGTGACTGCCGGCAACAACACCACGGCGCATAAACATTTGGCTAAAATCCAGAAATGGCGCAGCAAGAACCTGCACAAAGGTAGTCTCATCTGCCGCAGTCCCGAAGTAGCGCAGTTCATCGAAGAGTGCCATTTTCCGCCGCCGGAAGAGCCCATTTTTGCCGGTAAGCGTGTGGTCGCTAGTGCTGCCTCCCGCGTAGACCGTCAGTAAATTCAATCTAATAAATTAATCAGAAATTAAAACAATGAAATGAAAAATAATTAAAAGTAAAATTAACGCAAAATAATTTATTTAATGCTAATTTAGTTTATAAATAATTTCACAATTGTTTAGGTAATTTCTATATATTTTTATTTAGCAAATTTATTTATTGGCTAGCTAATTAAAATAAATTAATTTTTAATTAGGTATCGCGCAGCTGAAATCGGTGTATCTGAACACTTCCGGCGCCGACGGCAACGCCACGACCGCGAAGGACGTATTAAGCAATCTAATTACGGCCGCTAAAAACTGCTATCCGGCCGACGTGAAACCCGATGTGCACCTGGCGCCCTGTCTGGACTTTTCGCTGGATGCGGCGCAACTACGCAGCCTTTCCACAGCCGGCTCCGTTTTCGGCAATGAAGATTTATGCCGGTAGGCGTAAAAATAATTTATTTTATTTGTCTGATACGGCGCATGCTGATCGATGCTTTACTTAATAGTAAATTCTTGACACCGGATGTGAAGAAATGCACAACACCGCCGCCCAGTGCCGTGTCGCGCTGCAGCAGTGCCGATCTCCTGACGCTCAACGTGTTCGCCCGCAATTTCTACCTGTGTGAAGAACCGGTAGACAGCAGCCTGGTCAGTATAATCCAATATTTTATTTAAAATTTGATTAAATTTTCATTAAGTTGACTAATTGACTAATTTGATAAAAACTTCAAAAAAAATTTCAGACGCTGATTCTAACCAGGCATTTTTTATAGATAACCAAGAGCTAATAGTACCGGATGCAAACTTATTACGAAACGGACATTTCGATGGAAGCCGCGCGATGCATAAACCAAAGATATATCTTCTCTGTACAGGCATATATTACGGCGTTTAAAGTTGGTGTACAGCGATCCAGCACCGTGATACGGAAAATCAACGCCTCGTTATCTGACTTATCTCATGCACAGAATCTGTTTGACACGTATATTCTTTTACTCCAAAACAATGTACTGGCTTTTCGTACTATATCGTTATATATCTTCGATACCATACTTCTATACAATATGATATATATTCTTTACTGGCAATTTCTAATTGGAAAATAAAAAATTTTTCTTTGATGAGATTTAGTGTACTAGAAATCAATAAATTTATTGACGTTGATTTGAGTGCCGGTAAAAGCCGCAACAGCTAGGCCAACGCGCGTTAAAGCGGACGGAAGACTAATGAGTAATTAGCCGATAACAGGTTCACTAAGTACCGCAAGTACAAGCGCGCTCTATGGACCAGCCATCCCTCTGCAAAAATAAAAATCTCTACCATAAGGTCATGCAATTAACGTCCTTTTATCCCAGCCAGAAAGCACAGTGCGTACGCCGAAATACCGGCTAACAGCGCTGGTCAAGAGAACTGTTGTCGCGTTGCGGTGAATGCGGCCGTCACGTCCCGGTGGCGGACGCGTTGGTATTGACGCGGACGTTGACGTTAGTGACTATTAATTACCAGAGCATGTCAAGAGCACCTTACCTACTGTACAATTCTACCACCGCTCGCAATCACACGGCCGTGTTTCTTCCTTATTTAAATCGCAGCAGTATCCGTCATAGCGGCACAGTATACGATTTACTTGCCAAATACCGGGCAATATTCTGGAAGGTTGTTTAGCCGGGACCGGCGTGTTACACGTTGCGTGGACGAAGGCCGCTGTGGATGACCGCATGTGCGGATATGAGCTCAATCTGTGGGCATCGCCAGCTGGCCTTGGTCCATGCCGTGTCAGCGCTTACGCTCCACCGCCGTATAGATTGATGTTTAAGTCGATATTTATTTATTATTTGCCGCTACCAGGTGATTAATCGGACGCGACATTTTTGGTTCAGGCCAGACTGCAGATAATAATTCCGTCTCCACTGTACTGCGGCGCAATCTGCTGGATGACCTTTCGCAGCCATTCAGCCGCTTCCGCTGTAATACGGTCAGTGAAGAAAGTACCGCCAATTTCTTATCAGTCAAGCACAATGATTCTCTCGTAATGGGTGCTATTACGCGCGCCTCCGCATTCTTATCAAATGCACTACTTGTGTTTACACTATATAACCAACTACACTGTACTTTGTATATGTACACCTCGCACAAATACATGTTTAATGTGCACTGCATTTTATGACTACGTATATGTCGCACAATAGAGTGACTTTTAGATTTTGCATATTAACCATTAAATGATTCCGGCAGTTTATTCTGTGTTATTCGCTGTTCAGTTATTCCCCGAAGCTGTTCAGAAAAAGCCAATTTTTTGGACGGTCATCGAAATAAAAAAAAGGGTGTTTGGTACTTGTACTGAATGAACACGGTATGATATAAAGATAACGTTATGTAACATTTTTCATTGGTTCGACGTCGCGGTGCAAGTATTAAAATTTTACATCGTTTTCCTTTGGCCCTCCTACAACTGCACACAACTAGCACGGTTGTATGAGTATCTTTACTTGCAATGTACGAGGTACTTTGGAGTGCATTATACGCGTGTTACAAGATTATTATCGAAATGCTGCAGCCTGTACATCGCGATCATTAGGAAATACAGTACAAAATACGCTTATGTTAACTGTTGGTGTTAACATTTTGATTTCCTACAACAACTAACGCCGGTATAATCTGATGGAGCGAGTTCGCCGCACGTGTTGTAGCCGATTAATCGGAAGGAAAGGACAGGTTGCACGTTTAATTGCAGGGTAGAAACTGCAGCGGAACAAACACTGCGCCGAAAGCAGCCGACAATTACTCACACCGCACTGACGCGCTTGGCTCGGCCAGCCTCATTTCCCATGAAATTTTGTTGTTCATGTACACGTCAGGCTGTTCTGCATGGTACCCCCAACAAAACTAGCGTCAGACGGCGTTGTTTCCGGTTACTCGCGTTATGACCACATCCAACTACGCCGTACATTCATCAACTTGAGTAATCTCATGCATGCTGCATATATATGTACGCGTACTTGAAGTATATATAACCACAACTTACAGCTTCATCGGCCGTTAGAATTTTCCTCAAACAATTGTCTGGCGATATTGATTACTCTTCCCGGAGCAATTATGGGTCGACTGACCTTAATAATTTTCTGGACGTCGATCTTCCTGGTCTTCCTGTACCCGGAAGTAGTCCACACCCGCGGCGGTCGCGGTGGCGGCGGCCGCGGCAGCTCCCGGTCGTCCTCCTCGCGCTCCAGCTGGGGCAGCAGCAGCCCCTCGGGATCCTCGCGCTCCTCCTGGTCATCCAGCCCGAGCTCTTCCTCTTCCCGATACAGCAGTTCCCGGACCTCCGGCTCAAGCTGGAGCCCTTCTCCGTCACCATCCAGATCATCGTCGGACTTGGATTTCAGCTGGATGCCGTCCCGTTCCACCTACCAGCGTCCGGTGCTATCCCGGGAGACCCTCGGGGTCTTTGGGCGACAGTCCTCCAAATGGGGGAGCAGCGCGTCGACCGGCAGTCGCCCGGTGGCTGATTACGCTGCAGCCGGTGCGGCGGCGGTGCGGAGCGCGGCAAACCGTCCGGTGATTCATCTCGCGCGCCCCGCTTACACCCGGGTCGTTCCCGTTCGGACCTGCGACGTCTCCAACGGGTTTATCCTAGGCCGGGTGATGTCCGCCTCCAACCACCGGCATTACTACGTCCCGTACCGCCATAGCTCCGCCTACACGACCGCGAGCCCCCCGTCGGCCACTTCCGGGACGCCGGGGACCCTCCCGACCCGAAGCTACTGTTCCCTGGCGCGCTGGAACATGGAGCTGCCTTTCAGCGAACTACCGAACATGGCGCTGCACTTCCTGGCTAATGACTCCGCGTCCGGCGCGACGTTCACGGAGAAAGCCGGGTTCCTGGCGGAGATGCTGAACAGCACCTTGGCGGTGTACGGGGACCTGCCGGCGGCCGCCGACGCCTTCCAGCTGGATTCGGGGCTCAATATCAGCAAGTGCAACTTCCGGTTGCCCAATCCTAATGCGCGGTACGCGCAATGGCGCCCGCCCGCGGGTGCCGGGGCCGCGGAGGAGCAGGTCGACGGGTATGATCATGCGGAGACGCTGGAGCGGATGCGGCAGGTGGAGGAGGATTTTTTCCGGCCGGACAGCTGGATGTGCGATCTCTACAGGAACCATGTAAGTTAAATTAATTATCAACGTAGATTTATCAAATTATTTACATGATTTATTAAAAACCTATACTGAATGGCTGGTGTATGTATGTTATAGTACGTGTTTTTTTAATTGTTATTATAATTTTATTAGTATTAATTTGTGGGATATATATGCGCTAACGTGGAGGACCTTGCTTTATGCTGCAGTCTTCTATCTTCCCCGACATGCCGGACTGTGATAAGCCACTTCCGCCTCCACCGGAAGAGCCTTTTGTAACCAGTACGTATGCATGTATATCTGTATTATTCTGTACATGCATAGAAGTACGCATTATTACTGATGAGTTGCTCGCAACGTAATTCGTATACAGGCATCCACAATCTCCTTGCCAAGTACACCAACACCAGCGAAAACCTCGACCTGCTGTCAGGTACAGTCAGTTGCTCATAAGATTACGTTAATTTTAAACCATGTATGCGTTCTTACTTCTTACCCATTTTATTGGTATCAATCTAGAACTGCTAATATCTGTACGTACAGAACGATACTGTACTGTTAATTAATACGAGTATTTGTAGTCAGCGAGTACTTCGTTGCAGACCTACAGAATGCGGCCAAAGCGTGTTTAGTCGATGGAAAACCGGGATCCTCGGCGCCGGCCTTTTGTCTGGACTTCTCCCTCGATGCCGGACAGATAACGGCCGTCGGCAACGACGACTCCATCTTCGGCAACGAAGACGTATGCCGGTAAGGCCGGTGACGTTTCCGCTGCGCTACTGTACAAATAATGCGAAATTAATTTTGCAGTGTGTATTTGAATCCCAACGTCTCGTGTTTAAACATTAATGCCGCTAACCGCACCGCCAGCCCGTGTGGTCTCAAACAGTTGACCACGCTGCTGGTTTTTGCCAGGAATTTCTATCTGTGCGCCGAACCCGTCGGCAACAATCTGGTACGGCAGATTAATTTTGAAAAATGAAAAATTAAAATACCAATCAGTTAGTAATATTGTTGATTTCATTGAATACATCTAATTCAGTCAGTTTAATTTAATAATTTTATTAGGATTATTGGTTATCCAAAAATTCCACATAAAAGTAACAATATCACTTTAAAAATTACAAATATTATTTTTGTGAAATTATTTTTGAAATTGTGAATATTATTTTTGAAATTATAAATATTATTTTTAAAATTATAATTATTATTTTAAAAATTATAAATATTTTTTAATATGTTATTTTTTATTATATTATTTTTTATAAGTTATTATTAATATTAATTCATATATGCACCGTTAATTAGCTGGAGTACGCCATCAGCCTGCAGCCAACGACCACAACAACCACGACCACGACGACCACGCCCACCACAACCACGCCGCCGCCGGAAACTGTCGACACTTCCGGTCCGCGCGGAGACCCCGCCCACCGACCTGGTAAGAGGCTACACCATAATCTGGTGGTCTGTTTGTGATTAAACTTGCTAGGAAAGCGCTTGATTGCGTTGTTGACCTTTGCGCTGGCTGGTTGCAGGCCCGCCCAGTTTGGGCAGCGGGTTGACCTTTGTGGCGCGGATGCCCCAGTGGACGCCCACCGGCGGTCTGCTGCAGCTGGCGTCCTGGCTCTTCCGGCCTTAGCGGAATAACGCCGCATCAGGCGTTGGCGTTGCTCCCGAAATGCTTCCGCTGATTTCCTCCATATTGCAGTATTCAATTGCACCAAAATGACGTCCTTGACAAGACTCGACAGATTGCTATACCAACGTCTTTCTGCGTCGATTTTACGTATAATTTGTTAACCAACGCGCGGTCGGCATTTTAACCTCGCCGAGCGGGAAAATCGCAGTATCAATACAACGTACGAACTCGTACAGTAAATTCGGCATTTCTTTATCACTGCATAAGCATTATGAATGCGAGCACACAGACTGTATAATATTAATTTTATTTTATATGATATGCTTATTATTCAGAAAAGCAGCAGCAGATGTCGGCTGGTATTAGTTGCTGCCGGTCATTTATTTTTCATCGTCCCAATATAAATTATTGTTTGATAATTCATTAAATTGGTTATACACTTAATAGTCATGTTAAGAATCATGTTACTCTGTACAAGAATAAATCAAACAAACATAGGGAAAATATATGTACCAAGTATGTATGAAAAGGTATTTATTAAAAATTTAAAATATAAAAAATATATATAAAAATGAATGTAAAAAAAATCAATTAAAAAATAAAAATAATAAAACAAATGAAAGTAAACATAAATAAATACAAAATAAATATAAAATAAATATAAAAAATATAAAACCTAATACGTATGAAAAGGTATGTAGTTATTTGCAGTGTATGAATATATCCACATTACTGTAAGCCATTGTCGTGCGCTGGTAAGTAGCAGATCGTAGAGTATCGGCTCGTTGTCGCGAATAGTAAGGCATTTCCTATAAAGCCGTAGAATTTTAATTAAGCTGCGGGGGTCACAGTACATCTGCTTTTTGTTAAATTTTTCTTTTTCCGTACATCGGATTTTCCACGGGTCTGCAGTACATTATAGCACGCATCGATATTTCGCATTTATTATACAAATAAAGTTGTCAGGTCAGGAGACGGTAGAAAAGACATAAGAACTAGGCTAATTCGACGACATTGGAAAGTGGTTCCATAATTCTTAGCAGCAGAACTGTATAAATTTTACAGTTGCATTATTTTGTTTCCGATTGGACGATTCGAACCTCCAAAAAACGTCGATACATCCATTGTACATTAAGGTATTCTGGGAGAAAATAAATTCACTGGAAACACGAAATGCATGCGCCGGTTCGTCCTATTAAAATTCCCCCCAAGTCAAACATCGAGAAAAAGTGAAGAAAAAGATCGTGCAACCTTTTTATTTTTATTTTCTTTATTTTGGGTGTAATAACTGTTCTGTTGTGCGTTTGTGTTTTGCTGCTTATTCATAGCGTAACCAATCATAAATCGAAGGTCATGAGTGTTTTTTTTGCAAATGTACTGAATGACGAGCAGCATAGAGACATTCATTTTGCATTACTGCCTCAAAACAGTTTTCAAAACGATATTTTAAACGGGACGAACGCAATCGAGGTTAATGGGTCCAGACGCTTTTTTTAGGCGGGCTTGCACAAGCTTTAACGGGAAACGGGATTTATTGCGGAAGCTGCATATATGCTTATACGGCGATCAAATGCTAACAAATAACAGTAAACATAACCGAGCGGTAGAACAGTTACAATATTACCCAATCGAACAGTGGAATGCGTTCGATTCATGGGCTCCGTCACGGTTGACTAGCAACCAATGTCAGTACTCCTCAGATTGCCACCATTAGCACGCTGCTACTCCCGTCAATTCATATGACCCACGTTGTTGATCAATATGACAGCGTATACACAAGCATCGCAGAATTTAGTTCGCGATCGTTTTTGTGGGAGACCATACCTATTAACAGAAAAGTATAGAGTTGTGACTGTGCACATACCGTAATTATCGAATTTGTGGCCCTGGGGTGCAAATAGTTCGAATGCCATGGCGGAGGGGGGCTTATTTCGGGGAGGGGGCGCAATTTCGGGGGGTGGCATTATTTTTCGAACGGTATATTCTGGGAGGGGGCATTATATTTTAAACAACTGCGTACCCTGTTCTAGTGTTCTAGTAAAACTGACCGCAGTAGTTACCGGTAAACGCAACACCGCAACCTTCCCAGCAACATTTCCGAGCATAAACTTATGTCCTTTTTGCCAACGAATACCGTATTATGTTGAAGACCGTTTAAAATTTGCTAACAATCACAACAACTTTTATAAAGCATTTGCGGTACACCTATCATTTTGCAGCGCTTGACATTTATTAACGGCCCCCTGGGGCGTAATTTCGGGGGGTGGCCTTATTTTTCAAACAGGGTCGGGGAGGGGGGCTTATTACAGGGGGGGCTTTTATTGCGGGGGGAGCCACAAATTCGATAATTACGGTACATTTGTTCGACATGTGGACAGTACATCTCGTTAACGTGCCGACGCAACGACAGCAGCAGTCTCGCGTTGTTGTAATCCCGGACGGATGTCTCTGATTGGTCCTTATTTGGAACTTGAGTATTCAGACATTGTGGACTATGATGGACCCCACATGGAACAGGTGAGTCTGATCGTTTTGACCTTTAGCTGGGCGGTGTTTGCAACTTGTCGGTAAAGGTCACTATCTTATTATTCGGCGTATTTCCGACTAGCTGGGAGACAGAATATGGCATAAAACTTAAAGGTGAGCCGGAATAAGGAATTTGTCCAAGTGCCTCTCTTGAGATTCAGCTAGGTGTTTATCAGAAGCGTTAAATTGTTTTCCAGTCTTCACTGCAGCCATTACCAATGCCAATCGGTATTGGCTACCGGTTTGTATATCATTCTCCAGATGATGCCTTATCGAAATATTAATTTTTATTTACGAAAATCAAACTATGGATGATATTTAATTTAAAGTTATAATTAAAGCGCCATGCGTCTATGACCTTTATTACTTCTCTCTATACATGTACAATCGGATTTGTGTCTAATTCTGTATTCTGTACACGCGTACTAAGTACTGTCCAGTCCATGTGTGGTTGAATAAAATTGTGTAATTTTTCTGGTAGACGAAATCAGCAATCCGACCTAGAGTCCTTCCAAAAAAAATTTTATAATAACTGCTAAGGTTATTAATACAGCCCTTTGCAGCCAAGTGGGGGGATTTTAGTAATATAATTATTAACTATTCCTAAACGTTATTTTGTATTCTTTTTCTTACGTTTCTAGTGTAGCTTTTTATTGCAAATCTAGAAATGCTAAAACTGGTATCGTTTGGTGTGCCAATAGGGAGCCGAGTAGCGTTTAGGAGAAAGGGGTAGGGGTTGTTTTTAAGCTGCTTAAAAAGGGAAGAAAAACCGAATATCCGGTAACCAGAAGAAGCCATGGGTTTTGCTTAAATCTTTTGATACAGCATGCGTTGCGCTTATTTTCGGGTTAAGAAAGCTAAAGGTCAATGCTGAGTGCCTCCCCAAACGAGATATTACCAAAATTGGTTGCCTATGATATCCGGCAGCTGCACGCCTGGCGACCAAAGAAGTTCACCGTGTATATCTACAATGCTTGTAGAAAAACTGCAAAGGTCACGTCGGCTTAACGGAAATCAAAGGAGGCCAAATAGATTCGAGGAGCACTGAAGGATAAACAGCATACACTTACCTTTTCTGGGCGAAGTCCTTTAAGAGCATTTTTAAGCAAACTAAATGCGGAAAAAACGCAATCTTACTGCCACAAGATCGGAGCCGCATTTCGTAGCTGGCTGTCTCGACTTTCGATCTCTGTCTACTCCAAAACATATCCCCTTCGTAAAAACTCTAAGCGAGAAGATGTTGGATTGTGCTTGATTCTGTGGTACTTGAACGCCTTGAACTGCGCTAGAACTGCTATTGCGCTTGTATTACTTTTGTCCCAGCTCACGCATTCTCTCGAGAGGCTTACAACTCGATGTTTAATAAGGACTCATTTTTTCGGGAAAACTTTACTAGTCCGAATGTTACGCTGTACAAGCGGCGTGATTGTGATGGTCAGATTGACTGAAACAGACTTTGCGCGAGTTTTCTCATGCAGGACGCTTTGACAAGTCTGAAGTTATGCAAAATGGTTCTTGGTCAAGGATAGACGAATTCCCGGGAAGCATTTCCTGGCTTAACATTTGGAAGGCTTCGCTGTAGATTCGCGCTATTAGTTATCGCAGATATTGTATAAAAAATTTCCCTGTCGTGTACGATTGCGGCCATATTAAGATAGTTAGATTCGCCGTCCGTTGTTGGTATATCAGCTACGGCACTCCATATTAGCGTGCACTGTGCCTTCGGAGTCCATTTATTTTCCGTTTGCACTGAACGCCACTTCGTAACATTGAATCCGTCCGGAATGTACGGCATTTCAGCATTTCCCAGTAGCCGCGTTAAACAGTTCCGGCATCTGTCTTCATACTTCGACAAAAGTTCTTGTTCCTTGCCCTCCTACGACTCCTTGTTCCTTCTTCCACGTTCCTTGTTCATACATCAACAAAAATTCCCGAAAGGTTGCGCACGATTTAAAAATTAATTTCATACACCGTTCCACGGCTTCCGCCTGTATCCTTCACGCTGATAATGACATTGTGATCTTCGTCGAACATGATGCAGCGGCCGATCACATTCGCGTACATTTTGCACTGATGGCGAGGAAAGGTAGAAAATGAGGGCAGACTGTTGTTCGATGAGTGCGTTCCGGAAGCGCAATTCGTCCGGCTCTGTTAGAAGCCGTTGATGGTATGCTGGGGACCGTTTGCTTTAGTTGCACCTTGATAGTCTGTTAATGTAGCGAGGAACAACGCCTCGGGGATTTTTCGACTCCTCCTCGTGCACCGCATTGCCAAAATCAATTATACGAATATCAGTGTTGGTGCGCTGAGTGTTGGTTGCTCAGCCGGAACCACTGCGTGTCACACCGTTCGTTATAGGATGTTGTGTGATCCGCGTGCACTCAGAGGATGCTCTCTGGTTTTAAATCTGTATGGGTGTAAGTTAGTTCGTAGATATAGTGGACGACTTTGATATGTTGCGCATCCGTGTGACGGATTTCGTCCACTGGGAAAGGCAAATGGCCATTATGCTTAAGAATATCGTACAGTCTGCGGCCTAATTCAGGGAAGACGAGACAGTAGTAGCCATTTCACTGGAAGCGAGCTACTAAGCTAGCAGTTGCACACAACTGCATTGCCTACGAATGTCATGTTTCCGGATTAGGATATTGCGCTATTGCATAAAGTACATTTAAATGGGGTACCATAGGTAGTGCTGTACGTGGCCATAAGTAAAAACCGACAGGCCGTTCGATCGGTATGATGTGGCTGACCACAGGTACAAGATGTAGCAAATATCGAACAGTGTGGATGGCCATCCATATTACTGCGAATGACCATAGGTACAACATGACTTTCAGTCCATAGATTCTTTTGGTTAATAAACAATCTTTTGGTGGATCCACTGGTCGATGACGTCGTTAGGAATACTTGGTCAGCCGACGCTTCATTAACGAGGGTAGCAACTGTCCCAGTTGCCATGCTCCTTTCTAAAATTAAATTGATTTCGTTCAAAATTAACAAAGAACAACAAATTAAAAGATTTTTTAAGGGAATGAGGTTGACAGTTATTATAACGTACCCGTTGCAACTATGCGTCATTCACATCCACACCGAAATTTCCCTGTTCCGCGATGTACCTGCGGATATTTCTAGCTCAACAGCGATTTCGGCCGCGGGGTCACAATGTCAGTTATGGGTTTCTTGGTTTCACAACTCGTTAAATAATGCTTGACTGTAATCATACATTACACAGACTGTTTGAACCATCGACTGATTTCCTACTGTTATAAGTCTTGACATCTCCGCAATTTTTCTCAAACCGGAACCGAGGTGGCTTAAATCGTGTCTTAACAAAAATTGACGATACGCTAGTTACGGCTAACGGTGTTTCTTCAAAAGCGAAGTACATAAGTAGTACGTTAGTATAAGTACCTGTGAGTGTTTGAACCAGGATTTATATTTTCTCGTACTATGTTCCAGAAATATTATTACTGCGCTTAATTATCACTGTTATGAGTAGTTCATAATAATTATGTACTGTAATATCAGAAATGAAATAACGGATCTGGCATATAAGACGCAGGTGCCCAGCACTCAATTATTTTGCTCATTGCCAAAATTCTCTAGTTTGAAGAAACATTCCCTTTCAAATTCCACAAAGTCCATAATTCCCAACGGGTGTTCGGCTGGATAGACCAGCACGTTACCCACTCTAAAAAAATAAAAAGTTTGAAATTATTTATGTTTTAGAAATTATTTTTATAAATTATTTTACCCTTTTATTTTTTATAAATTATTACCTTTTTTTCTGATACTCTGAGAATGTTATTCGAACTAGCTTTATAGTGAGAAAAGTTTAACCTACCCGCATAAGGAGCGGTGGTCCATTTGCTGCGGAACACGCCAAAACCAGCAGCCGCTTGAAAACGCTGATGGTGATCGATCTTTTGGCGTCTGAATTGCATGACTCTGTTCTGCTTTGCGCATGGCTTCCACACCTTTTCGGGGTCTATTTTGGCAGCCGTAACTCATACCGTACCGCCTTTCCGAATGCTGACGTATAGTCATTCTGTCTAAAAACTGTGTTCCGGAGGTTGTGTAGTTTCTTTTTTAATACCAGATTCTGGGTTCAATGTCAAGCCTCGATCGCTGTTGCTGGTAAAAACCACTGACGTGTCGTGCACGTTAAAGGAAAAGACCTACACTAAATATGGAGCGAACTTTGACAATATCAGAATAATTATGGCTTGTTAGCTGCAAAATGAAGAATTAGCTTTGCACGCTTCCGCAGGGACGCGTCGTGGACCGTCGGCAGTGTGGAGGTTGAGAAACGACTGTCCGGCCAAGATGTACTAATTGAATTCACGATATTCTGCACTGCAATATTCAAGAAACTGAGGTTGTCAAAATAGTCTCTTTTATTTCCTGTTGAGGAGCTTTTAGTGGTAAGTTGTGAGCACTGAGCAGTGAACACATGCTAAAGGCAGCTTACTTGGCGTCAGTAACTCTTAAAGACACACCGGCACTTCCTAGAGTGTTCACAGCGCGACATGTACAGATATGGATACGTACTGCAGTGATGCTTAAACGATAAATACGGAACTTCTGTTTTGCCATTTGTGTTGAAGGCAAGTATTTATTTGGCCATTATTACGCTAAATAAAATCGCATAATTGTAGTGCACGTCTTCAGTTAATCTTCAAGCAGATTACACTCTGTATGTCCTAAAACCTGTCGGATCTTTTCCACTACAGCCTCTTTCAGCGTTCCAACATTGTACGTGAAATTTGCTATCATACGACAAAGAAGAATGTACAGTAGCTTAACTGTACCATAGCCGTATTTCATGCGCTACTTTAACGTCTTACTGTGACCTTTTTGTACCATGCACTTGCACTAGAGGTACGGTTTCCCAGCTATTCCGTATTTGGCAGCGTTTCGTTCAGCGGTTTTGCTGAGCGCTCGCATGCCGGGTACGGAGTGGTTCCGCTACAATGCGACAGTGTCGTTTGCAATACATACTTGTCATTTGCGATTGAAAACCAGTCTACGGAAACGCGAAAAGACAGCATGTTCAGTTTCATAACAGGACCAACTGCTGTAATAAAACCGAGCAATGTTGCTAACATGCGCATAACTTCACAACGCCAAGTTTGCTGCATGAACCCCCGTTGTTGATTGCTTACTATTTAGTGAACACGGATATTATTTTCTCCCGGTAGTGAAGTGGTTCGTCAGGCCAAAAGTTAAGTATGTCAGCCTACTATGAATATTATCGCTATAATCTGATTATAAAATGAGCAAAAAAAGATTTTTATTATGCTGTAAAAACCCGGAATCTGTGAGTGTATCACATTATTTATCAAAAAAACACACGCCTGCATTTCTTCTGCATACGTACGAGCCGTGCCAATAGCCGTGAACCTACGATCTGGCCAACCAAACGAAGGCGGGTTTTTTTTAAATTGTAATCTGTTATGAAAACATTGGCCCTTCAGAGAAACTCTAAGGCATTTGAATATTGTAACAAGTGGTTACATTATTTATTCAGCACCTATTTTACCTGCATCCTTGATACGATTCTGTACTTGCGACTTGCGTCAATTGCCTGCGTTATACATTTCAAAATAGCTAAATCGCATTGACTTGATGAAATACTCGTATCGTTTTGCCTAGTCTTTATACTCGTATGCAAACTGAAGTTCATTTATGCAGGAAAATGAAACTAATATTATTATTTCTGTTACAAGTACAAAATGTGCGTACTCAGTTGGGTTGTACGGGAAAACCAGTTCGATTTCAGTCATCTTCGCCTCGATTTTATTGACTAGCAACAGAAGAGTATTTAGTAGAGTACATCCGTACATTGAAAAAAGGGGCTGAGAGTTGCGCAGGCAAGGAATCCCAGCACTTGCTGTCGTTGCGGCAGTACACATGCTCAAATCAGGCGCGCTACGTAAGCGCCATGTTTAGCCACCACGTAAAACACCGGCCAGTTGACGGCAGCAAGTACAAGGGGTACTTGCCCTGTTGCCCATAAAACCGGCTTTTTTTATATACGCAGTAGCCCAAACTCGACACCGTTAATGTTTCCGTTTACCCATCACCGCATCATATTCGCAAGCTTTCTGCCCGACAGCTTTTTCAGTAGTGTTATCCCGATTCGCAGCAGTGTCGACTAGCGGGAAGGGTATGCACTTCTCCAGATACAAGCTCTGTTGGTGCTTTTAATTAATTACCATTACAATATGTCAATTTGGACTCTATCGCCAGTTCGACAGACCCCTAGAAACCTAGAAAGCTTTTCGCCCGATATTAACCAGCGTTTTTTGCACGCGCTATTCTCTGTGCTTTGTAGGTTCTGACTTCTGAATGCCGGTGCAGCCTTGCTAGAATATCATCACCAAATGATCGGTACTTCCTCATGGACGTTGCTGACGAGGACGGTGGCCTGATGGAGCAAGCACAGGGTGTGGGGCAGTTGTGTTGTACGGGTTCGATGCAGCAAGCTGATTTTACTAACTCCATATAAATCCTCCGGAACACAGATTTATTTGCAGTTAAAGCATGGTTAGAGTACTCCGCACATTCGCTTCATTACCCGGCAAATAGCAAACTTTCCTGAGCAAAGCATTATCAGTTACTCTTCTTCTAACAGGGCTGCTGTTGAAGGTCCCGCTCTAGATGGATCACCGTTTGCTGTGCTTCACTGTAAACTTTTTGCGGAATTAGCAGTGTGTACTTGCATCCCAGTGTCTCTGAAAGCAAAAACATTAACGCCGACAGCCCGTGCGGTCTGCGCCAGTTGACCACGCTGCCGTTATCTGCTTGTTCAACATTTTTGCCGCTGTTATTGCTTTTTCGACATTTTCTTGGCAAAACTATAGCCAGGTACATTTCACCAGCATATACATGCGTATTGCATACATAAACATTTCGGCATCAGGTGTCGCCACGTTCGACTGCACCTGCAAATTTTCCAAGGGGAATATGTATTTCACAGTATTAAGACTCCGTTTTTAGGCTTTACTGAAAAAAAACAGTGTTTATTTGACAGGAAAAGCGTGCAGGTAGAAATGTGCACCCAATCCAAAAACTGCGCCGCAAGATATTTTACTAGCTGCATGTGTCAGTTTTCCTGAATAAGCCAGCGTCCATCATCGCCTGGAACGGCCTGATTTTCCTGCTTAGAACTCGTAAAATTCGGGCAGACATACCGGTTGGTACACTTATCCAAAATTATTGTGTAACCGTCGATTAGCTGGATGAAGATAAACGGTCCGTAACACGTCTCCGGTATAACGACGTAGCGGCCATCAGCTGCGACCCACGCACTATTGGAACAGGAAGGAAATAATTTGTAACTCCCGTCTTCAGCAAGTTCTGTCCGCCAACGCGCCGGCACAGGCGCCGAAGCAGCTGCAGCTCGGGCATTTTGAGCCAGGATCTCCGCAGCAAGGACACCGGTACCACTCCCAGCAAAGACGGATGCGGCGACCATTGCAGCTACCTTCAGCGGGAATGGTAGCGCCAAAGGCGCACTGGCCGCGCGGATGCCATCATCCTACAAAATGCAGTGTCAGATTCTCGTAGCCTATGCGTATTATTTGGTATTTAGTTATACACCTTGAGATTATCAGCTCATACTCGGTCGTTGAGTAAGGTCGGTAAGATAGATTATTTACGGTAATTATTTCTATCGTCCTGGTCTCTCCGTTGGTAGAAACGAAATAGGATAAATAACCTTTTCAGACCCTTTGATATATTCGTACCTCTATTTTGCAACGAATTTAATGTTTACCAGATCGTTTGATGATTGTCCCTCAAATATACGAGGATAAGGATGCAAAAGGATATCTCCAAAATCCACGCCCGTCTTGGATACAATATTATAAACTGCCTTTTGTGGTAACAGTTGGGCGCTGCTCTGAAGAAAATTAGTGCAGCCAATCTGCTGCCGAAATCCTTCCAGTATTGCGTTTGACGCTGATGATAAGTAACAGGCGGCAAAGTGCACTTTGCCGCCGTCAACCAGGGCCATGCCGTTAAGTGCCTCCGCTAAATGACCCTTCCAAACTGCTGTCTGCTCGCGGACACCGGGCGAACCGTGTACGGCGGCAATCAGACCAGCACGCAGGCTTTCGAAGAGCAGATAGTGAGTTGCTACCAGAGCAATCGTTTTTAGTAGGGACAGATACATGGGTGCTTCACCTTGTGCGCAGGTTGTGCCGGTTCGATCTGCAATGATCACGTTCAGCCCGGATACCGGATTGCGCTGCAATCAATAATCTGACTGCTTTACCAAAATAAGAAGCGCTGGTCATCAAGTGGCCGAGCGTTTGAATGTTGTAACTGGTGGCTATGTGCTGCGCTGAAGGAGGATCTCCATTATCATCGTTTGTATCAATCCGTAATCTGGTCATCACTGAATCCACTTCGGCCATTATTGCTGGAAAAGACGAGGAAAGATACAGCTACCCCGCAGTTAGGTATATCGGTATACCGCTGGCTATTTCACCATGGCATGCAGCACTCCGCTATTTGCTGTAGAAGTAGTTTTTTCCAAAGAACGAAATCAAGTTAGTAAGGTACAAAGAGCAGTACTGCGACGGGTTACTGGGGGTGCTTGCCAAACATACTGTACATCGAACAGTCGAACTCATTTACACTTTACAGCCGTTTCTCGTAAGGTAATTTCCTTGGGTTGCGCTTAAAATACACCGCCACGATATGTACGTATGCCGATTCGCAAGTCAACGGGGTTATAAATAATTAATGCATAGTAGTGTTCCGGCACCTTGGTGCACTGTACGTAGTACGTACCATACGTCGGCCATAACTCGGCATACGCCTGTAGACTTACGGCGGTTTACGATAAAAATGTACCGTGCGTTACCTTTCAGACGATCGACATGGTTGCCACATTCATGGCGGCGGAGGGCGCTTTCAATGGAATCGTCTGCCTCAATCTTCGGTGCCTTGGCGTTGGGGCTAAGAAGAGCAGCAGCAATGGCTCTCAGGGCAGTGACAATAAAGGCTGCAATGGGGAGAAACAGGATTTAATCTACATTAAAAAACAGAGTGGCACATTATGGCATATTACAAATTAGAAACAGACAGGCCGATCTTTAGAAATTTTTGTGGGGAAAAGCGTTTGCGACAGTTAGCAAGGAACAGCTGATGCACTAAACTAAATACAAACCGTATTCTGGCGCTGTGACGGACGTCAGAATTGCAGTTATATCCAGACATATAACGATTCTCTCTTCAGTGCAGCAGTCCAACAGACGCGAAAGAAGTCGAGAAACGTTGATAGCCGCTTCTACATTTTCCGCATTAAGATGTCGGAGGATATTGTGCAGCTGTTGTTGAATACCTTCCATCTTTCTCTACATGGAGCTTGTCAATGCTTACGGTTAAGCTTTGTTTAAGAAAATTGTAGTCAATTACGGTTTAGCTTTCCCAAACCGCGTTGGTAGCGCATTTTGGCGAGCTTAACGTGAGCTTCGTGAATAGCTGCTTGTTTATCGGTTTCTATCGTCCGATTAGAAGCAAATAGAATGAACAAATACACCACTGCAACAGCAAGCTACTAAACGTACCTGTACGAAGCTCAAGCGAACATGATCGCATATTCCGCAGTACCGAAATAAAGAGTAATAAAAGCGTTTAAATGTACCTTCTAACCTGCCCTATTTCGCTGTGTCCCATCACAGCTCACAATAAGCCATTATCGAGTTCAAAGTCCCAGCAATAGTCTTTGTAATCGCGACATGTCTTTTAAACTGTTTACTCTGTATTCTGTTTATAATTCACAACAAGTCTACGCAAATTTAAAATTAAAGTTATGAGTCATATGAAGTAGTGAGATCATGGCTTTGTGACTTGCAGCAGTCACATGTACATGTACTATGTTCAGCAGAGTCGGACATACAGCGTGTATTTAGAAAACGCCCCATATAATATGATAATATTATATAGTCAGTCATTTAGTGGCGATGAACGCTAACTATTCTTTACTGCTTTCAAATAATACGGAATTATCATTGCAGTGTTCTCTTGAATCCCAACGTCTCCCAGTGTCTGACCAGGGCACATAGGAGTCCTCCACGTTCAAAAAATTTTCATTTTTTGTAAAACGGTAGTATACTGTCGTGTACGCTTAAAAAATATTATCATCTGCCATGGTCAAGGGGGCGTGGCCAGACAACAATTTAAAGTTTGCATATTATCACATACTATCTGTATACGATGCAGTGAGTACACGTTATTAGTAATTATTTTTGCTTATATTTTTACTATAGCATCGTGGACTTCTGCAGCTGTCTAGTGGTGATGTGAACCAAGCCCACATTCGGCGGCTCGTGCCATTGCTGCCGGAGCACACATTTTCGAAACTTTTTCATCGATTAGTGTTGTCCGGTTGTATGTAGTAAATCGTGCGAAAAACTTATTTCACAAACTAGCAGATCCGTACTCGTACTGCACTTCATAACAAATTTTCAAAAATGTGCACTCAGGCAGCAATGACATGAGCCGCCGCACGTAGGCTTGGTTTACATCACCACTCGACAGCTGCAGAAGTCCACGATGCTATTGCAAAAAATTAATATAAAACAAAAAAAATTACTAATAACTTGTATTCACTGCATTGCATACAGATAGAATGTGATAATATGCAACTTTAAATTGTTGTTTGGCCACGCCCCTTTGACCATGGCAGATGAAAATATTTTTTTAAGCGTACTACGATAGCCCACTACCATTGTACAAAAAATGAAAATTTCCTGAATTTAGAGGACCCCTATGTGCCCTAGTGAGTATTAATGGCGCCAACCGCACCGCCTGCCCGGGCGGTCTCACCCATTGACCACCCTGCTGGTGTGCGCCAGGAAGCGGTCGGTAACAATCTGGTACGGCAAAGTACAGTACTTAATCTAATAAATTTCAACACAATCATAATAGTGAACTTATTTTTAGTTTATTTATTTTATTATCGATATTATTATATTGGACGTACAGTAATATTATTATCGATTTTCCATAGAAAATTATAATCCGTTGTATTACTAGCGGTGGTTGCGAACCACATTACTGCACGAGCGCGAGCGCCAGTACCACTGGGAAATGGTATCAATAATAATATTACTGTACGTCCAATATAATAACATCGATAATATCGGTAATATCGTGCACGCAGAATGTATAATTTTATCATGTTCTTATTAAGCAATATGCAGCCGTAAAAAAGTAGCAGCGGAAGTGGCAGGTGTCAACCAGTACTTATTTGTTTCTGCCGGCCATTTGTCTTGCGAAATTGCTTATTGCGTACGTCTAGAGCGAAATCTGATGTTCCTTGGGGTACGATATAGTATGCATCTCGCACTTATTATGAGGACGAAAATATTAGGTCAAAAGACGGTTTAAGAAAAATAAAAATCCGGTAAATTCGCCGAAACTAGAATGCGGGTGCTGTCATAATTCACTGTCAGCAGTCAGCGTACGAATACGGAACACCGTTTGGTGGTAGGAAATCGTAGTGTACCGGCTTCTAGTGCCAAGTCTTCCAAATAGCTCAAAGAATCCTAATATCTGTATCGTCCTGCGATTATTAAAACATCGTTTTTCTGCAAAAAACTCTTATATTCATGACATCGATTCGGCTTAGTAAGGAAATGCAGTATGAGACGAAAATTAATTTAGACTGTGTAGACGGTGTGAATTTACGTATATATATACGTACATATGCAGGTATATATATACGTATATATATATGTACGTACATACGTATACGTATATATATACCCTGCATATGCAGGGTTATCGCGCCCAGTGTGGACAGTAAAAAAACATTCCCCAATGCAACCATTGAAGTCAAAACGTTTTATGTTAAATTTATATGATAGGTCTTGGTCTATAGCAGCTTCCTTGGCCATCTTTCCGCTCTAAAAGCTATAATGCAGCAAACGGGAGCTGAAGTTTTACTTTAATTTTTTTCCCGAAAAACCGCACTGCTTAACGAGAAATAATCATCTTCAATCAGCAATAATTTTGAAATTTTGAGCGGTTGAGAATCACCTAGTAATAACGCGGTGTTTTAATGGTCCCTTTCTGACTTCCGTTAAACCACTAACATCTCGTCCAACGTAACCCGCGATCCAGGCAACAGCATCCTTCGAAATGTAGGTTTTAACATACAAGTCTATGGAAGATACATCTTGTTTTGAACTCACAACGAGCAGTGATCGTGTTACAATTTTTTGCTAACCGGTAGCAAATACCTTTTAAGGCACTCGATAGTTTATTAACAAGGTCACGGAAAAATCACCCGTTTTCTGAATTTCTGAGAGGGGCCATTATAAGCTTTAAAAAATAACCGCTACCCCCTCCGTTTTAGCGCCACCCGACTCCTTCCGGGCGCATTAACAGATACCCGTTTTGGTATCATTAAATTCACCACAACACGCTACACTAGAAAAAAGCGAAACATACAGCAAAACGGTTTACGGGAATATTTTGTAATTTATTTTACGTAGCTGTCCACACTTGGCGCGATAACCCAAAGGACGTATCCAAAGTAAGTTCCCTTTTTTGCCTCCCTGCCATTTGAAGTAACACACATGTGATATATTTTTTATTGTATGAGCAGTTATACAGACCAACTAACAAAATAAGAATGGGGAAGATTCAGTGAAGAAATGCGAAAACGCAATAGCGAATAGCGAATGCTGTTACTGCAACATTTTCAACGGGTTTTTTCGAAGCTTGTTCTTTTTATTGCCACTTCCGTCGTTTTACAATATCGACAGCAAATTTAAAGTCGCAGCTCGAAAAACCGTTCTCAATATTATGTTTTGAGAAACTCACAGAGTAGAGCAAACATTTTTTTTCTCCAGGACGGCATAATTCCCCTTTTCAGCCTTCTTGCTGCTGTGAATCCAGAGTTCTTTGCATCTATAAAAGAGAATTTTTATGGCCAGTTATGCGCATTTTAGACACCAATCGTGACCAATGACTTCCAAGTTTTACCGATAGCTATAATGTTTTACAAGAAATTTTCAATTTTTTACCGTTCTGGAACCTTCATCAGCTTTGTAATTTTCCCACCTAGTCATCGAGCGTTTTTGATTTTCTGGAAGAGCAGTATAAAAAAGTTATTTTGCTTCGTACTTGGAATTAGGACAAAAAAGAATTCCTAATAAGATGAAATTTGGTGCTTTACGGAAAATGAGCAGGAAGACTGGGAAAAAAATCAAACTGTCTGGGTAAACACGTGGCAAGCTGCGGAAAACCTCAGACGGTTTTTTTGGCAGTTGTTCTCCATTAATTGTAGTTAAGTACAGTTTTATTTATTTCGGTACGTTAATAAAGGACGTTTTTAAAAATGTGGTTCATAGGAGTTACAAGCGTTCAGGCCGGGAGATGCAAAATAGGGAAACTTACTGTTGGTACGCCCTTTGTACTTACTTACCTAATCTCCATACATTGTACGACCAAAATACGAGTGTGTTTTCGTAATAGTGTTTTCGTAGTGAAGTGGCGTATTGACTATGGCTGTCGAATTTAGTGGATACTAGTCAAGATATGTATAATAAGTTTACAGTGGTTTTGAACTTACATACCAAGTACTGTACAGATGACAGTTTTTTTTATTGAAATTATCTAGTTGATCACCCTTTCTCCACTGAAATATTCGGTGGCAGCTTCGAAAATTGAACCATGTGTGGGTAAAAAGACCCTATTTTCCTGGAATGACGTATTTAAATAAATAGATGCTAAACATTTCCCTTGTGCAAAAAAATGCGTTTTCGAATTAGTTGTCATTAATTTCGACAAACACTTGTTCAGCATAGTTCGGGTCTGGTGATGAAAAGGTCACGAATGCCCCGTGACCTTTTCCGTGCTGAGCCTGGTCAGCGTCAGCCTGATTTCATCGGTTATTTCTGCCGTTCTTGCGACCATATTGTTAAATTAAGCTTACCTGTTTATTTGTTTCCGGTAAAATAATAGACTGTGAAATTTATTCACGTAATAGCTGTTAGTGGTACATGCCGAGGACATTTAGTTTTTTCCATTTTTTGACAGTTTTTTTAATTCTTATTGATCCGTACGCGTCGGCATTCAAAACTAAATCAGATTGCTATAAAAATTTCATACACTACCACTGTACAATTGGCAAATGCATCAAATGACAGACAGCATGGAGTTATCCCCTTTGAACTGCAGCATCGACGCAGTTTTAAATAAAATTTTTAAATGGGCCGAACGCAACCGAGGTGAATGGGTGCAGCCGTTTCTTTCAGCAGGTCTGCTAAAGTTTGTCAGCCCATTGTAGCCGGAAACGGGTTTTCCGTGTGGAGACCTTAAATGCGGATGTTACTTACACATATACGGTGACCGACTAAGTAACTTACAAATAACAGTACGTGAATAATACCGATCGGTATGACTGTTACTACCAAGCAGTAAGCAACAGTGCTAAATTGAATGGTGAAATCCGTTCGACTGGAGTCTCCGTTGCGGTTGACTAGCAACCGGAATGTCAGTACTCCTCGGTTTGCCACTGCACTGACAGGCCGCTATTCCCGTCAAGTCA